GACGGGCCACGGGCCACCTATGCGCGGGACCCCCTCCCCAATCTCCCGGGTGCGCTGTGCCCCCCAGAGAGGGTCCCCTCGACCTTGAGCGCCAGGATTGGTTAATTTCACTGTGGCCAGGCGAGGGCGAGGGCGAGGGTGCCTCGGTGCCTACTGTACCGGGACCAAGTCCCAGTAGAGGCCATCTCTGGTCACGGAGCCGCGACCTACGGGCCACCTATGCGCGGGACCCCCTCCCCAATCTCCCGGGTGCGCTGTGCCCCCCAGAGAGGGTCCCCTCGACCTTGAGCGCCAGGATTGGTTAATTTCACTGTGGCCAGGCGAGGGCGAGGGCGAGGGTGCCTCGGTGCCTACTGTACCGGGACCAAGTCCCAGTAGAGGCCATCTCTGGTCACGGAGCCGCGACCTCACATCCATCCTCCCACCCTCTCCCCAGCGGACCCTCCCCCACCCCGCGGTGCCGCTGTCGCTGCCACTGCTGCTGCCTTGATCTTTCCAGTCGGAGCCTCAACCAGGCTGGCTTCAGGGACGGCCCATGTGTGTCCTCTGCCATCTGCCACCCTAGCTTGGGCACTAGAACCCAGTTTCCTGAGGCGCAGGCAGAGGAGCAAACAGAAAGCACCCAGGGTGGGGCAGCTCACTGGCATCCCCCACCTCCCCGAAGCTCTGGGGGGGGGTCCCCTGAGGCCGGGTGTGGGTGGCGGAAAACAACCCTAGGCGCAGCTGGACCCAGGAGTAAGTGTCCTTCTCTGGCATCCCTCCCTGGGGCTGGCTGGGAAGGTGGCACTGGGCACCCAGGCTCCAGTCCTGGACACCGCACCCTTCCTGGGGGAGGAGAGGGAGAGGAGATGGGGAAAGGACCCAGTAGGGTCTGACTTGGAGATGCAGACAGTCGGCCAAATGGCACTGGCCGAGGGCTCAGGCTGGCAGGAGGAACCTTTGCCCTCGCCTGGGAACAGTGGCCTCACTGCGCCTCTGTTTGATCCTCAGAGTGACCTCAGGTCCCCTGGAGCCCTGGTGCGTGGGGACAGTCTCAATCCCAAACTCCGGCAGGACCTGGGCTTCCTGAGGACATGAACAGGGCCTGAGGCTCTGGAGCCGGCCAGGGGACCCGGGCACTGGACCGTATCCGAAGGACTGGTCCCGGCCATGCCTGGCTTGTTGGGGGACCCTTAGTAAATTATTGTCCCCCTGAGTAAATCATTGCCCACTGCTGGCCTTAGCCTCGAACTTTCCAGTGGGATTCCCACCTGGGTAATGGTGGTCCAGAGGCCCTCACACTCTCTGCAGGCTTGGGGCCAGTCCCCATGGGAGGGATCTTCTGCCCTGCCCTGTGTTCCCATCTGGGCTTCCCAGACCCAGGATTGCCAGGAAACAGGGCCTTCAGGACCTCCAACTTCCAGCTCCCTGTCTCCCACCTCAGCCCCCCTGTCTCCCCAAAGGCTGAGGATATCCACTGCATGCTGCACACCCTGGCACAGCTTGTGGTCCCTGGGACTTAGCTTATGCCACTGATGAGCCTGAGAAAGCCCTGCTTCCCTCTGTGGTTCAAAATCCAGCTCATAAGAAGGGCAGAGTGTGCTCCTGTAACCCTAGCACTTAGGAGGCTGAGGCGGGAGAATGGCTGAAAGTTGAAGGCCAGGATGGGTTAAATAGGGAGACCCTGACTCAAAAAAAAACAAAAGCGGGGCTGGGGATTTAGCTTAGTGGCACCACACTGGCCTTGGAAGTGAAAGGTCCTGAGTTTGATCCCTGGTACACACAAGAAAAAGCAAAACCGAAAACAAGATAGGCAAAGCCTTACCTATTAAACAGAAAATCAAGAAATGATAGAATAAAAAAAATGTTTAGAGGTAAAGACAGAAGATAAAGCAGAAGGCTGGGCATGGTGGTGCACGCCACTCGGGAGGCTGAGGCAGGAGGATCGCTGTGAATTCGAGACCCTGTCTCAAAAAAAAACAAAAAACAAAAAGAAAGATAAAGCAGAAATGATTCAAATGGTTCAGATGTTTCCCTTTGAACTTTCATAGATTTCTTCAAAGAAGAAGGATAACCATGGGCAGCTACTTCAGCAGGGCATGGTGGCCCATGCTTGTAAAGAAGATTGCTGCAAATTTGAGGCTAGCCTGGGCTACTTAGTGTGTTCAAGACCAGCCTAGAATGGTAAGATCCATCTCGAAAACAACAAAAACAACCACAACAACATTCAAAGTAGGGATTCACATGGGCATTTTTTTGTAAGCCACAGTTCATAACAGGGTTACTCACCATAGCGGAAAGGTAGAAATAACCCAAATTGCTTCATACTTAACAACAGAATATTATTCAGCCTGGAAAAAGGGAGGTTCTGACCCATGCTGCAAGAAAGATGAACCCTGAAGAAATGCTAAGAGAAATAAGCCAGACATTCAGGGGAAAATATCGCATGATTACACTCGTAGGTTAGAGCGGTCAAAGTCATGGACCAAGAAGAGTGAGGGTTGGTGGCTGGGGCTTCGGGAGGGAGCGGAGTTATTATGAAATGCACACAGTGTTCCAGGTTGGGAGGATGGAACCTTCTGTTCTCTTTTGTGGTGGTGGGGATTGAACTCAGGGCTGACGCATGCTAAGCGAGAGCCCCGTGATGGAACTCCACCCCCACCCCCCATTTTAATATCTGGTTTTATTTGTTTTCCTCTTTTTTTCTCCTCTTTTCTCAAGATAAAAACAGTTTTGGAGATGGACTGCGGTGATGGTTGCATAACAACGTAAATATGCCACTGAACCATCACCCCATCACTCAGGAGGCTGAGGCAGGAGAATTACTTCGACAAGTGACAAACTGTGAGTTGAAGGCCAGCATGGGCTACATAGCAAGACCTTATCTCAAAAAAAAAAAGAACAGCAGCAACAACCTCAAATAAACAATAGAGTTAAGAAGGTAAATTTGTGTCCATTTTACCACAATTTTTTTTAAACTTTTCTGAGACGGGGTCTCAGGCTGGCCTTGAACTCCCAGTGCTCCTCCTGCCTCAGCCTCCCCAGTGCTAGGATTACAGGTGTGTGCCACCACAATTTGGGGAGGGGTACTAGGGATCAAACTCAGGACCTCGAGCTTGTGAGTCAGGCACAGTGCCACCGAGTTCAATCCCTGGCCACAACCACAATTAAAAAAAAAAAAAAGTTTCCTTTGGAGTCATGGGATTATGGGTGGGAGGGAAAGAGAATTTCTGCTTTTTGTTTAAAAGCCTTTTTCTAATTTTCTTTTCTGGCTTTTGCGGGGGGTAGCAGAGGGCTTCACACTAAGCTGTATCCCCGGCCCTTTTGTTTTTATTTATTTATTTATTTATGGTAGTGGAGATCAAACTCAGGACCTTGAAGGCAGGCAGCAGCACCACTGAGCTAAATCCCGGCTCTTGTTTTTATTTTTGAAACAGGGTTTCACTAATCTGTCAGTTGCCCAGGCTGGACTGACTCTCGATCTTCATGCCTTAGTTTCCCAGAGTGCTAGCGTTATAAACATGCGCCAATATACCTGACTACATTTTACTTTCTAAAATGGCACACATGGGTTTCGTTTTGTTCTCAGTAACTGGACTGACTCCAGAGCCACACATATACGTAGCAAGCATTCTACTCCTGAGCCCCACGTGTTTAATTTAATCCCTCTTTTTATTAACAGGCCTGAGAGCCTCCTTCCTGGAGACATTAATCAGTTACAGGGACTGCTGTGTGATGAAGCCCTCATTGCGAAGGTTCTCACAGTAGCCAGGTGTGGAGGAGCGCACCTGGAATTCCAGCACTCAGGAAGCTGAGGCAGGAGGATCGCTGTGAGTTCGAGGTCAGGGCGGGCTACATAGTGAGACTCTGACTCAAAAGGAAAAGAAAGATCTCACTGTAGTAAGAAGAGCAAAGGAGTTACTTAGTCTGGGGAGCCTCTGGGCTTGAACAACTCCTTTTGTGTGGTGTAAATTTTCGTAGTTCTCTGTTTAAGTGTTGTGTGAAAAATGACGATTTGAAAGATTTGTCCTCTCCAAGTGCCTGGGAGCCGGCTCACAGGAATGGAGGGGTGGTAGCCATAGCAATGCTCTTCCCAGGGTACGGGGGGCCCTGGGTTCCAGCTCCAGCTCCCCAAAGGGGAGGGGGCGCTAGCAGCCCAGTACAGAGAGGGGAGAGGCAGGAGCAGGGAGTTTTAATCTTTGGCAGCAGGGGAGGGGTAGTGGAGGTGGTTTAATCTTGAAGAAGAGGTTAAAAAGGTTTGGAGAATACCCCACTTTTCCTCTGCCTGTCAGGCTCCTCAAATCCCATAGCAGTGTCAAAGGCCGACCCAAGCTCAGGAAAAAACATAAACAAGTTGCTGCAGGCTGCTCTGAAAAGGGTTGTTTCTGACTTTCAAACTGAAAGTGAAAATAGGGAACTGGCTCTGCACTAGTAAGTAGAGGAAACCAGTTTGCTCACAACACAGGACAGACCGTAGACCAGGCATTTGTGATCTTATGACTTTGCTTGCGGTTGGGGGCAAACACTACTGCCTTCACTCAGCCCTGTGATCTTTGTTTGTTTGTTTGTTTGGTTTTTCATTTTTTGACACAGGGTCTCTGCTATGTAGTCCAGGCTGGTCTCCAACTCACTATGTAGCCCAGGCTGGCCTAGAACTAGAGGCGATCTTCCTGCCTCAGCCTCCTAAATGCTAGGATTACAGGCCTGTGGCACCAGGCCCAGCCATATATATATTCGGTACTGGGAATAGAACTCAGGACTTCACGCTTGTCAGGCAGGTTCTGTGCTACTGAGATACCTCCCCAGCCCTATATTTTTGTATTTCATCGTCACTAAAACCATAGCTTCCCATCTAGTGGAGATTTATGACTGAGGACATCTGGGCTCGGAGAGACTAGAGAAGGTGTTCAAAATTGGTAAAACCAGATTGGATATCGGAGCTGCAACCTCAAATTTTATTCACTCCTTCCACTTACTCATTATCTATTTATACTGAACTTCTCACTGCCCTATATCTGGTGTGTGTGTGTTACTGAGGATGGAACCCAGGTCCTTCACCCTGAGCTACATCCCTACCCCTTTTATTTAATTTGTATTTATTTAGCTTTTGGTACTGGAAATCGAACTCAGGGCCTCGCAGTGGCCAGGCAGGCGCTACCCCACAGAGCTACATTCTTGGCCCCATTTTTTTTTTTTTAATTTGAGACAAGATTTCACTAAGTCACTAAATTGTGCAGGCAGGCTGGGCTCAACTTGCCATCCTCCTGCCTGAGCCTCCCAGAGCACTGGCATTACCAGCTCTGGCTACCACACTCGGCTTGAATTTTTCTGTGTTATACTTTATTATAAAAGTGATAAACCCCGGTATCAAAAAAAAAAAAGGAACAACAACAACAAAAAGAAACAAAACCAAAACAAATGGCCTTGGCTGTCTGGGAGGACAGAGCAGTATAAACTAAGCTAAGGATGTAGCCTAGCGGTGCAGGGCCTGCCTGGCAAGTGCAAGGCCTGAGTTTGATTCCCAGAAAAAAAACCAAAATCTTTCAAAGTGATAAGCCTCATTGTAACAAATTTTCCACATAAAGAAGGATAAAAATATGCATACTCATGCTGGGCATGGTGGTGCAAGCCTGTCATCCCAGCACTCAGGAGGCTGAGGCAGGAGGATCGCTATAAGTTCAAGGCCAGCCTGAACTACATAGCAAAAGCTTGTTCCTAAAATATATATTCTTATCTCCTTTCTGTACTTTTACAGAAAAGAGATCATGCCAGAACATTGATGAATTCAAAGTCCATAGATTAAGTAGTAGTTTTGATCGGTGTTCACTTTGTGACAACTGTCCTGTGGTTGTATATTTCCTTGCATTTGCAAACACACGTTGACGTATTTAGGGATACCAAGGCCTGTGTCTACCACTCCCGTGTTATTCTTATCTCCTTTCTGTACTTTTACAGAAAAGAGATCATGCCAGAACATTGATGAATTCAAAGTCCATAGATTAAGTAGTAGTTTTGATCGGTGTTCACTTTGTGACAACTGTCCTGTGGTTGTATATTTCCTTGCATTTGCAAACACACGTTGACGTATTTAGGGATACCAAGGCCTGTGTCTACCACTCCCGTGTGCCCCTAAACTCACTGTGGGGTTGAGTCCCAATAAACTCATGGAAGGTACACTGAAAAACGTGTTTATTGCATGGAACCTACTGAGCCCCTAGCAACGCAGCCCCTGGTAAGCACAGAGTGTTTCCCTGGTGATGGTGTGGCCTATGACGGGGACACTGCCAGCCTGGGAGAAGACCAGATGAGACTCCAGGTAGGATTTGTACCGAGCACAGGTCGGGACCAGATGCAGCTTGGCTGGGGGGGCGGTGGCACCTGCCTTGCAAGCTCCAGGCAGGAGTTCAAAGTCCAGCACTGGAAAAAAGCTGGAACCCTGAATGTGCGTCACCTTCACAGGGTTGTAAAGCGGAAGAATTGTAAGTTGAATCACTGAAAGTTGGGGGGCTGTAGTTTTTGAGGTTTTGGAGATACACGTGTGTGTATAAATACATAAACATAAAAATGGAGATGGGGTGGGGCAATAGAGAGAGAACAGATCATGCTGTTTTACTCAGCAACTTGAGGGATTTTGAGACAGGGTCTCACTATGTGGTCCAGGCTGCTTGGAACTTGCAGTGACCCTCCTGCCTCAGCCTCTTGAGAGCTGGGATTACAGGTGTCTGCCACCACACCCAGCTCTTGTGTATTTTGTTACTTGATCATATATTATAAGCATCTTTCTTCTAGGGTGATCTTATATTTCTTTTCTTTTTTTTTTTTTCTTATAGTACCGGGGATCGAACCTAGGACCTTACACTTGCGAGGCAGGTGGCAGAACCCCCGAGTTAAATCTCCTGGCCTATTGGGTGTTTTGAGACATGGTCTCACTACGTAGTCCAGGCTGGCTTTGAAGGACTCATATACTCTGACGTGGGTATCTCTTTTCAGCCTACCTATGACTGAGCTCTGTGTGTGTGTGTGTGTGTGTGTGTGTGTGTGTGTGTGTGTGTGTTACTGGGGACTGAACCCTGGGCCTTTGCACACACCACCAGCCCTTTTGAGGCAGAGGCTCCTGCCTCAGCCTCCTGAGTGCTGGGATGACGGGCGTTGCCACCACACAGGCTATTTTGCCCATTTTATAGAAGGATAAACAGAAGCCTGGACGGGGCAGTGACTGCTGAGGTGGCAGCACCGACCTGACCCCAGATTTTCAGGGACTGTCTGCCCCCTGATCTTGGGCTTTGGATTTCTCTCCTCCTTCCGGGCCCCACCCCCAGCCCCGCCCCGAGCTGGAGAGGAGCTGTCTTCCTTGGCCTATATTCAGTTCCTTGCTGAATTGTCACTAAATAGCTGAACCCTCTGAGCCTCACTTCCTTCACCTCAGAACCGAAATAATGTGGCCCTTTTATGACTGTTGTGAGGACCGGGTTAGAAGACACTGCAGAAAAAGTGAAGAGAAACAGTAAGTGTAAAACCTGGGCACAAGGAACGCTCTTGCACGTGTTAGTTGGGCGTTACCACACTCGAGCGTGAGCAGAGCCCTACACATTTGCACACCTACGTTACTGTACAAGTATGTGTTAGGGCATTTATCTTTCTACCTTGCTTGGCAGTTATTTGTGTGAACTGTGGGCTCCTTTGAGGCAGAAAAAAATAGGGTGCAGCCTGGGGATTTAGCTCTGTGGTGCCACGCCTGTGCCACAGGGTCAAGGTCCTGAGTTCAAGCCCTGGTACCATAAAAAGGAAAAAACAAAAACAAACAAACAGCCAGGCATGGTGGCTCACGCCTGTGATCCCAGCACTCAGGAGGCTGAGGCAGGAGGCTTGCTGCAAGTGTGAGGACCTGGGCTACATAGTGAGTTCAAGGTCAGTCTGCGCCATAAAGCGAGAGCCTGTCTCAAAAAACCAAAAAAAGCAAAACAAACAAATTTTTAAAAAACCCAAAACAAACAAAAAACTTAAGTGAAAAATGGGGTGCATAAGAAATGGGGATGGGACTTGGAATCAAAGATTTGGGTTGTTGAATGTAGTGGTTGTTGAATGTACTTGGGAGGCTGAGGCAGGAAGATTGCAAGTTCAAGGCCAGCCTGGGCTACTCAGCAAGACTCTGTCTCAAAGTAAATAAACAGACGAATAAAAAAATTAAAAGGATTGGGGGATATAGTTCAATAGTAGAGTGCCCCTCAGTTCAATTTGAGGTGGGGGGAGATTTGGGTCCATACTTTAACCGGCGGTGTGTCTGAGGACCAGTCGCTTTTTCCCTCAGAATTTAGGGTTTCTTCCTCCATAAGAGCAGGGAGGATCACAATCAAATGAGCCTCATTGTCTCTTTGTGCACATTATCAAGATAACGAAATACTCACTGGCCACAGTGGCGTGTGACTGCAATCCCTGCACTCCAGAGGCTGAGGCAGAAGGATTGCCAGGAGTTCAAGACCAGCCTGGGCTATATAGTGAGACTTTGTCTCAAAAAACCAAACCAAACCAAAGCAGATGGCTAAGACATAAGGCAATAAGCCTGCAAGTACCTTCCAGGGGAACTAACGCTTACTGGAAGACAAACTGAATACACGCTTAGTGTACAAAGTACCAATTGCACCTTTGGACTTTAGACCTGTGTGTGTGTGTGTGTGTGTGTGTGTGTGTGTGTGTGTGTGTGCGCTTGACAGGCTCTTGCTATGTAGATCACTCTGGTCTTGAACTCACTGTGTAGCCCAGGCTGGCCCCAAACTCACAGCAATCCTCCTCCTTCAGCCTCCCTCGGCTGGGATTATAGGCGTGCGGTCACCACACCTGGCTTATGCCATTTCTTTTAAAGGGCACATATGACTCAATCATTTTATTCCATTGAAAACTAATTTAAGAAATGGGCTACCTGCCAGTCATAGTGGTGCACGCCTGTAATCCCAGCACTTGGGAGGCTGAGGCAGGAGAATCGCTGCGAGTTTGAGACCAGCCTGGGCTACACAGTGAGTTCCAGGTCGGTCTCAACTACATAATGAGACCCTGTCTCAAAAAACTAAACACACACACACCCAAAACAACAACAACAAAAAACAAAACAAAAGAAATGGGCTATCCTGTTAGTCACATAAAATCAGTGAATAAGGGAGCGATGATCATGGTGGAAGAAACTTCAGGAAAAAAGAAAAGATGGCTAAGACAGTGTCCCTCTCACAGTCCAGCACAGAGGACCGGCGCGGAGAGTGCACCCCATGGGGGCTTAGAGCTGGAGCTACAAGTGCCAGTCCCTAAGGGAAGCTCTGTGGGCCCCTCACCCGATCCCTGCCAACCACCAGCCAGATGCTTCTGTCGTCCATGTTTCTCATAGAGCTGCAGATGAGGCCTGGGCACAGATTGCCCGAGGTCCACAGCAGCCAGAGGGAGTGTCAGGAAGAACACCAGTTGGTCCAGTGCCCGGGCCCCTCCAAGCCAAGCTCTGTCACTCTTATCGCTGGCACTGCCAGACTCAGGCTGCGGATCACAGAGGTCAGCTAGGAGGAGAGGGCCGGTGGGCAAGGCTGGGCCGTTGAAGGAGAGGAAAGATACAGGAGCTGCACCCAGTCCGAGAAGGAGAGGGGCCTATGTCCTCGAGGTAGCTGGGTGTTTGGAGGATTTCAAGCAGAGAGACTTGCCAGCTTTCTAGCAAGATCATGGAAGTTGGTTATGGTGGCGCATGCCTGTGATCCCAGCCAGCCCTCAAGAGGCTCAGGCACGCAGATCCCGACGAGTTTGGGCCGGCCTGGGCTACACAGTGAGCTCAAGACCACAGTGAGGCCTTGTCTCAAAAAAAAAAAAACAAATCAAATAAAATAAGAAAGCTCATGGGAGATGGGAGAGGTGGGTGGGAGGGAGGGAGAAGGGGCTGAGACAGAGGAGAGAAATCTAGGACATAGACAGTGATTTAGGGGTTAGAGGACGGGCAGCGATTCTGGAGGGCATGCAGCTTCTGCTCCTAATCCAGAAGGAAGAGGAGGACCTGGTGAGGTCAGTTTTGGTCTTGTAGTGTCCCACCTCGTGCCGTTCCGCCGCTGGTGCCAGGCCACCGGAGAACAGCCGGCTACCTCCGGCGACCTACAGCATCCGGCCGTGCAGTGTCCTCTCCTGGGCGCCAGGGGGCGCCCGCCCGCCCGTGAGGGCCGCTCTGGCC